GGACTTAAAAAAATGATGTTAAGTTTCATAAGCAAAGAGTTACAGTTAGGACATCCACAGGGATGTTCTTTGCTTGGGGGCAATCTGAAGATAATTGCTACTTTAAGGTCTTGAGTGGACACTATTCCCTGGAAGAAAAGCAGAAATGTTACACTGTTGCTGACCTTGGAGTAGTAGTCATTGACAACATGTTTTTTGTTCTGAAAGAAAGAAAAAACCTTGACATCTGACATCTGTAATGTTGGTATCTGGCCTTCTATGAGAATTTTCCAGACTGATTTTTAGAAAATTTTAAGTACTTCCATGTAGAGAGATCTCAGACTATTAAATCCCAGCAGATATTGAGATGTGGCTAGATATTTGCTTCGTATTTAACAGATGACAGGATTTTAATGAATCAGGAAGGCAAAATAATTTGTTTTTATTTGTTACTTGACCAATTCAATGAAATATCCCAAACTGTAGCAGGTTCTGTTATCTTCTCTTATTAAGGTTTTAGGGAAAAGGGACCTGCTCTGGACTCAGAAATCATAGCATCCATGGCCTATTTCTATCACACATTCTTGTGGCTTTGGAAAAGCCACTTAACTTGTTGGAACTTTAGTTTTTGCATCATCATTACCTTCCATTATATAAGGGAAGGGTGATTCACCCAATAGATTTCTAGAGACTGTATAATTTTGACCTTTGATTTTGCTTATTTCCTCCCTTTTCTGTCAATTTTCTATCTCCTAGTGGTTCCCAAAGCTTTTGCAAAACACAATACCAAGCCTCCGAGCTTCTCTTTCTTACCTGCCCCTAGAAACTGGCATCTGGAGAAAAAGGTAGTACTTTCAGGGAATAAAAGGCCATCTTTAACTAATTTGGTCTTTGTCCTTAATCCACTAAAGGACAGATTTATTTTTACCTTCCATAATGACAGATCTTGGGAAGGAGAGATGCAGGTGCTGTGAACTTCTAGTTTTATGAGGGTGAAGACTGCCTGTATCTTGCTCATTGTTGTAATGAAGAGCCTACCAAATAACCTAGCACATCATAGTTATTCAAACATTTGTTGAGTTTAATGGTTGATCTGAAATACACTTAGTTATTCAGAGACACAAAAATCATATTCAATATATAGTCTGTTTTACTATTGATCAATGTCTTAGCTTATTCTGGTTATATAACAAAGAACCATAAACTGGATAGCTCATAAACAACATAATTTATTCCTCATAATTATGAAGACTGAGAAGCCCAAAATCAAGGTGAAACAGAAATTTTTAGGAATGAAAAACAGAGGTTTCAGGAAATTTTAGAAAGTAAGGGGACCATGGAAGCACAAGGCTGCAGAGCAGCAGACAGTATATTTCCATAGAATAGGGAAGCTGAAAATCTGCAACAGGTACATTTCCATAGAATGAGAGAGCTGGGAACAGCAAAAGGTCTCTATTTACAAAGTAAAGATAAGGAAGCCCTTCATCCAGAAGGAGAAAAAGAAAGCCCAAAGGGAATAGGAAAACAATAAGAAAGGTAGGGGGTGAGGGGAGAACCTTCCTTATTGGGACATGAGAGGTTTGACCTTTGAGCCCAGAAGTTACTATAGTAATCAGTCAAGTAAATAATGACCAATCCGAGAGGATATCAAGGCACCAGGATCCTCAACCTTTATAAACTACAGGGAAAAGGAAATTAGTGGGACTCTTTCCCCCTCCCCATGTGGGAGTCTGTACTTTTTTTTTTTTTTTTTTTTTTTTTTTTTTAATAAATCTCCACCTTTGCTCTATCACCTTCTGTCCGTGGATTCATTCTTCAACTCCGGTGGACAAAGAAAGAATTCGGGTTCCAGTTCAAAAATTCTGTATCAAAGGCACCAAAAGATTTGATGTCTGGTGAGGACCCCCTTCCTAGAGGGGCATCATTTTGTTGTTACCTCACATGGCTGAAAGGACAAGGGAGCTACTTGGACATCCTATATAATAAAAGGCTAATAGGCAAATCAACTGAACTGGAAACAACTGGTCATTATGACCCACACTGACCAACAAGGGACCAACAGCTCAACACAGGAGCTGCTCCTTGGTGGTCAGTGCACTAAAGCTGGTTCATAGCTGGCAAGTGCAGCAGCAGTGGTGGGCAGCACTAAGGATGTCCAACAGTCAGACATCCCCTGAGCACTCCCGAACTGTGAACGAGTGCAGGTTGGGCTGAGGGAATTCCCCTGAGTGTGCATGAATTTCATGCACTGAGGCCTCTAGTTTTTTTTTTTTTTGTTTGTTTGTCTTGTTTATTTTTTTTTAGAAGAGCACTAACCCCATCAGGGGGCTCCATCTTTGTGACCTAATTTCCTTGCATCAACGACCAGTAATAGTATTTCCTCGGGAGTCAGGATTTCAACATATGAATTTTGAGGGGGACACACATTCAGACTATAAGCAATTAAGGAAAAAATATATATATGTTGTTGTTTTTTTTCTTGCAGTGGGTCGCTCGGGGTGGGCTTTGCAGCTCTGCCCAAATCAGTTAGAATGGGGCTTGTAAGATTACTGTTTAACTAGATACTGAACCAAGTAAGCACCCAAAGTTGCCCCCCTATTTTCCTTCTCAATCTAACCTTGACAAATTAGAAAGAAAAAAAAAGTCTTTTTTTGAAGATGTTTTTTCTATGTATGTTTTTTATCTTTTTATAAAAATAAAATAAAGAAGGAAAGAACAGAAAGAGGGAAAGTAAGATAAAAAAAGGAATATCAGAAGAGGGGAGAGAAAAAGAAAGAAGAAAATAAAAGGAAGAGAATATAAATATCTAATGTTCAGTATTTAGTTTTATCTCAAAATTCTTATTTAAATTTTTTTTCTACATGTCAGTAGAGCTCAGTCAAAATAACAGTGTCTTCAACTTGTCTTCCTAAGTAAGCTGAGACTCCAGGCAGGCCAACATTATCAGCGCCCTTTCCTACCCTTCCATCTCTCTTTTGCATAAATCTGCAAGAAAAGAAGCCAACAGCACAGGTTTAGCTCCCAACTCTCAGCGTAATGGCCATAGAAGAGAAAGACCAAAAAAAGCTAGCTCTCCTCTGATGACAATGGTTAGAAGAGATGCAATAAAAATTCTGAGCTTGAGACACAAACGGAATTCACTTGGTATTAACTACATTCCACGATTTGGCCCCAATTCTTATTCCTTCAGCTCTCCAGGAGATGGAAAACACAGCACCCCTCAAATGCAAATCATAGTTAGGAAAAGAATGATCACCACCTCCATCATCCACCTCTTTCTGTAGGGGAAGCTGACGCTATGCAAAGCTGAGGACCAGGAAATCAGGCTTTGACAACAGGGGCTATTCCTGTCCTTTTGTTTTTGTTTTCTCTATTTTGGTTCATTGACCCAATAAACTGGTTTCTATGCTAAGTGTCTAATGGTAAAGAAACCTTGATTCAGGCCCTGGCCAGTGTGGCTTGCTTGGGTGGGTGTCTTCTCATGCACCTGCACACCGAAAAGGTGCCAGTTTGATTCCTCATCAGAGCGCATGCCCAGGCTACAGACTTGATTCCTGATAAGGGGCATACAGGAGGCAGTTTATCTTTGTGTCACTCTCTCACTCCCTCCCCTTTTCTCTTTCTTTCTAAAAACTAATAAACACTCTGGAGAGGGAGGAGGAGAAGAGGAAGAGAAGGAGGAGGAGGAGAAGGAGGAGGAGGAGAAGCAGCCTTTGTTCAGGAGAACCATGCAAGTGGGCTGGAAGGACTTAACAGGCTTTAAATGATTAACACCATCCAACACACCATATCTCTGCAATGCCACTTGATAGAAGAGCACAGAGCTCTGTGACCGCTGCATTGAGAGATTAAGAGTTAATAAGTAAACCAGAAGTGTTCCCAACTCCATCTGCCTCACAATACCCATGTCCATAACAAAGCCAAACTAGTGTTTTCTTTTCCTACTACCCCACCAACATTAGCCCGCAAAAATGTTTTATCTCATTTTATAGGTGGAGAAAATGAGGCAGAAAGAGGGGGGGAAATGATCTCTCTAAGGACACATGGCAAAGGTAATGCAGCCATGATAAAAAAAACAAAAACAAAAAACAAACAAACAAACAAACAAAAAACAAACAAACAAACAAAACAAAACAAAAAATACCAAACATTCTGTCCTCTGGACCTATGTCTTATAGGAATTCTTGATGACTTAGTACCTTTCATTATATCATTGGCTTTAACATTAGGTGAGTTCTAATTTTTTTTGTGTGTGCCATTTTTTTTGTATTATGGTAAAATAGGCATCACATAAAATTTACCATTTTAACTATTTTAAAGTGTACAGTTCAGTGGCATTAAGTAAGGACATTCACATTGCTATGCAACCCAAACCACCATCTATTGCCAAAACTCTTTCTGTCTCCAGCTCAAACTCTGTGCCCTGTAACGGGTAACTTCCTATTCTCTCTTCCTCCAGTTCCTGGCAATCCCTGAGTGTTATTTTACAGCAAAAAGAAATGTTGACTTTGAACTTGATTTACAACTAAAAAAAAAAAAAAACCCACAAAAATGTAATTAGATGCCAGAGGGAAAGTGGGGGATAGACCTCCATTCAGAAGTGATTGTATACAGGCAGAAGACTCCACGTGAGTAGTGTGTATGTGTGTGTGTGTGTCTTTAAAAGATTTCCTCCTCCCAGCCCGCCCCCTCGCAGTTTGCCACTGGGTTTTGCAGTCTCCTGATTTCCTCAGTCCACAAGAGGAGCCAACATGGGCAATGGCCTCTGCAGTTTCAGGAGCTAGTTAGTGGCAGGGGAAGCCCAGTTCGGAGTTGAGGAGTGGGAAGGTAACCCGTATGCTTTTAGTTTCAAACATCTACCCCAAAGAGTCTGTTGCTCTTCTTCTGGAAAAGCCTGATTGGTAGGATTTCTCCCAAGGCTCAGCCCGACGTGCTTTATGCCATCCCCTCTCCAACTTCGACCCTGAAGCTTGCCAAGAACCTCGGGAGGAAAACCTGCTGGCTTCCATCCTTTGCCACAAATGGCCAATTCTGGAGGAGGCGCTGTCTGCAATGGGAATCTTTACAGTCACAAGAAGCAGGACGGCTCACAGAATGGAAACTGCATGAAGAATGGCCTCTTGAAGGAAGTCCAGGTAAGAGGGGATCCTTGCCCGGCTCAGAATGGCCAGGACATGTGACTATTTCTCTGTAAGGCTGTTTGCTGCTTGAAGCCGTCCTCACTGAGAGTCCCTTTTAGGAAGTGTTAGGTGTTTTGATTCTGCCCTTCAGCTAATTTCAAGTGTTTGGCTACAGAACAGCTTAGGTGTGGGGTAAGGAGAGAATTTCTTCTCTAGACAGGAGAGGACATACATAGTCCCAAGAGCTATTGAAAGCCTGAAAATACAAACATACCTACTAGACTTCTATTTTCTCTCACACATTTCAGGGGCAGACTTGTGAAACCTCAAACATTTCAGGGGCAGACTGGTGAAGCCTAAATTTCAGTCCACCAGGAAATCATGACAGGCTACATTCACCAGGCTTCAGAAAACATTTTTTTTTAATTGAGGTAGTGGAAGTAAATTAAAAGTTGCCGAGATGAGGTGGTATAGATGGGCATTTTCCCCAGTACACCAGAAACGCTCCCAGTCCACCACACAGTACCTTTAGCCCAGCTTACTAAAAAAGGAATTATTTATGGTATTTAGTGGTTCATTGTCACGGCTTACAGTTTGATTTGGGGCCAGAGTCTTTCTTTGCAACTTGCCATCACAGCATTCCTTTGGAAGACACTTCAGAGAGTGTGGCTTATTGTTACATGCGGCACACGGAACCAAACAGCCCTTTGTTTTCCCATTTGAAACATATTTTGGCTCTTGATGTAATACAATGTTTGATGGGGCTAAACTGTAGAGGAGGAGGAGAAGAAAATAGAGAAATATTGTCAGCTTATTCAAAGGGGGAGGGAGGGCTGGGCCCTGTGAGGTATTTGTAAAAAGACAGTTCCCCACTTCCCACATGCTGTCCTGCCTCATGCTCTGAGGAGTAGGGATGAGCTCATCTTGTCTCCAAAGTAAAATAGCCAGACAGGTAGCTTCACTGTTGGGAAATGAGAATCTGGTCAGGGAACCTGTACAGCTCTTTATCACTCATCCATCCCCGGGGAGCCAGCATCCACCCAGGGGAAAGGTCAGACTGTTGTAAGATCACAGGACAGGTTGAGCTTGCTGGGAGCCAGGCCACCACTGAAATCTGTGAGTCAGGTTGGAAGAGGTGAAGGGGTGATAGGGAGGGGGCGTACTCTGGAGCATGGCTGTATGTGAATATGCTGTGGTCCCCTCTTCACAAAAGGCATCACCCTAGCCTTAGAAGTGTCTAATGAAAGCCTCAGGCCTAGCCTCTCCCAGATGAGAACGAGTGCTAGTCAACAGCATTGTTGGCAGCTGCATTGAGCTAGTTCCTTTTGCCTCAGTGTATTCTCATAACAATACTGTTAGATGAATACTATTAGCCATGTCTGTATAGAAGAGGAAATTGAGGCCCTGAGAACATAGCTTCCCAGGATCACCTATCTATAAGAAAACTGGAGCATAAACTCCAAACCATCCACTTTAGCCCAACTTCTTTTTTTATTATTTAAATTCTTTATTGTTTAAAGAATTACATATGTCTCTTTTTCTCCCCTTGATCTCTCCCCTCCAACTTTTTTTTGGTATCAGGACCCTATGGTAGTATGCACATCCCACAAAGGCCTAAAACCCCTATTATTTTAAGGTTGATTATAACATATACCAGAGAATATGAAAAGAAAATGGATAATGCTTTCATTGTGACCACAAATAATCAAGAATACCATGCTCTAACTCCTAACACATTGGCCTCTAGTGAAAAACCTTGGGAAGTAACCAAGAAAATAATAATTATGTATTGTATAATCTCTAACATGTACTGCATTCTTTCTAAGTGCCAGACATTCTAACTACTTTGCATTCATTATCTCACACACTCCTACAGGGTAGATACAATTATTGAGACCAATTTTAAGGGTGAGGAAACAAAGCTTTAGTAAGTTAACCAGTGTCATCAGCAGAAGCATAAAATCAGTTTGGAAACCTGGTTTTCCCAATGCTAAAACCCAAGCTGGTATTTCTTAGTCCATGCTTCTTCTCTAAATACAAGATGTTAATAGGAGTGAGATCCATACCTACTTCCACGGAGAAGGAGTGAATTAAACTCAGCCCTAAAGGGCAGAGAAAGTGTGAGTTAAAGTTATTGTGTTTTGCATGGGTGTTTTACTGTTATGAAAATTTGAGCTTATTAATGTGAATGACACCAAACTGTCACATACCAGAGCCTTTAATATGCAACATTGTCCATTCACAGCATATTCACACATAGCCAAATACACACTGCATTCATGTATAGGCCATCACCCATTCTTTACTTTAAAAAACTCCAAATTAAAGAAAACCAATGCCATGTAACCCTTAGTCGTATGGATTTATATTGAGCCACAGATGGAGCTCTCCAGGAAATCTGCCTTTCAGAAGCATTCTTCCACAGTATATGGTCACCCTGAATAGGCATTTCACTTAGTGCAGCATTTCCTAGTAATAGGAATATCTTAGATATGCAATGCTGTAGGTAAATGATACTTGCAAATGAGTTGATATGTTTTCCATTGAAAGGTAAAATCTATTTTACTCCCCTTCATTAGGTTGGACCTAATGCCTCACTTGTCCTATAGAATGTGATAGAAGGCATTATCTGGGTATTTTTGAGACTAAAGTTAAAAGAATCCTGTTAGCCTGAACCCAATCCTTTTAAAACATTCACTTTTAAAACCTAGCCACCATGTTTGAAGGAAGCCCAAGTAGCCCAGAGGAGAAACTCAGGTAGAGAGAACCTAAGTATCCTTGCTGTGCCACTAGCCATGATGCAGCACCAATTTGTAAACTGTATACGTGAGCTATCTTGGAAATGGATCCTTCAGCCTGGGATCTATCAGCTCCAATTGATACCTCATGGAATATATAGATAAGTTGTCCCTGCTGAGTCCTTCTCATATTACAGATTCCTGAGCAAATAAATGATTGCTGTTTTAAGTGTGGCAGTGGTTTGTTAAGCAGCAATAAATAAATGAACATATGAATATTCTTGTTTTTAAATACCTAGAAAATTAATTCTGCAATCTCATCATATCCATTTTATCTATTTATCTATCTATCCATCTATCTATTTTCCTTCCCAATTTGTGTGCATTTTTGTTTTTTGTTATGATGAAGAACATAACATACAACTTTCCATCTTTTCTCCCCATTATACAGTATTACGGTATTTTGTATTAGTTTCAGATGCACAACATAATGGTTAGACAATCATATACTTTACCAAGTGGTCTCCCCAATATTTTAAGGAACCTCCTTGGCCCATACATAGCTATTACAATATTATTTTTTCCCTCCATTGACGTCTCTCAAGCTACTCCCACCCCTACCCCCAGCACATGCCCTCACCCCCCTAGTGACTGTGTCTATTGGTAATGCTTATATGCATGCATACAAGTCGTTTGGCTGATTTTTAACCCCCAAACTCCCTGCCTTCCCTCTGAGATTTGACAGTTCAATGATTCTCTGTCTTTGGATCTATTTGTATTCATTGGTTTATGTTGTTCGTTATATTCCACAAATGAGTGAAATCATATGGTTTTATGTTTCTCTGAATCATATCCATTTTTAGTGCTGGCATTTACATTTTGAGGATAGAGTTTTTTTGTGGCCATCTATTTGCTTTCAATTTATTTTGTGTTTTGGCATAAGGATTGATTGGTTTAGCCAAATACAATAAACTCAAATATTACTAATGCAAAAGTGCAATCATCTGAATGATGCCAAATCTGAAGTGTAATTATTCAACCTGTGGCAACCTGCAATTTACTACCTATGAATAAATAGCTATCTCAGGAAAGCGTGTCTTAAGGTGAAGAAGTTTTCTTAATTAAAATACATGTGTTAATTATATTTAATATTTATCAATTATAAATTAATGTTATCTATTTACTAACATTTCTTTAAAAAAACTTTCTTGGAAACACTGTTAGAGGTGGATTGATGTCAACTTAAATACTTGCAAGGAATTTATTACATTTATTTTGACATACACTGAATATAATTTTTCTACTAAGTGTTGTCACCTTTGTCCCAATTGGCCTGAACTAATATAGTTTTACCATAATTCTAAAATATCCAACCTGTAAATTAATGTGTGAAGGAGCTGCTGCCAACCTATTAGAAACCAAGACATTGGCCAGTTAATTCACAATTTAGGTGAAACATTTGGGGGTGGGGTAGAATAAACAAAACACCTATACGCACAACTCAGAGAAGTATTAAAAATAGCTCTCTTTTAACCATCCATCACAGTACCATCTGAATCCTGCTCTACTCATTACTTTTGTCACATTGAAGACCATTTGATTACAGCAGAGACTGAGGGTGGCAGGGTCTGGTATGGAACAGTAGGAAGTGGTAAGAATGTATTCACCTAACAAAGCTCTTTGTCTCCAAAAAGCAGAACAAGTCCTGTGTTGACAGATTTTAGGATTTTCAAAAGAAGTTGCAAATCCAAATTAGGTGGGAGGCAGAGAGAATCTCCTCGGTTTTAAATATTGGCATCTAACCTTTAAAAATTCAAATAATGTGGATTTCAAGGAAATATTGCTTCCAGCCACCAATCTGTAATCTTTGAACTATAGATAAATAGAGTGAGAAAAATAAGAAGTCATAAATAGAGTGCTGTTTTCTCGTACACATTTAAGAAGAATGGTTCCGGAAATTTGGCTCCTCTTAATTTAGATTTACTTCATACTTTGGAGAAACAATCTATAATAATAAAAGCATAATTAATATGCAAATAGACCCAATAGTGAACAGCAGAATGAACATCCAAATGACCATCCAGATGACCATGCTATGACACCCACTGGTACCAGGCCAGCCAAAGCAGGTGCAATGTGATAGGTTGGGGGCCCAGCCATCAGCCCATGATCCCTCTGTAGGCTACCCTGCAGCTATCCATCACAGAGCCCTGGTTGGGTGGGCAGGGGTGATTGATCACAGGGCTCCAGACTGTGAGAGTGCATAGGCTGGACTGA